ATACTGTTTTTGCAACTTTTCTCTAAATCTAAAATCATTCCAATATAAAAAGTTTATCTTTAAAAATTATGGTTCAATAGCTACCACATAGATATGTTGTTTGCTCCTGCCTCAGGGCCTTTGCACTTCCTGCTCCCGCTGTCTGGAGACTATATCTCAGACATCCTTGCAGTCGTCCTTCATCTCCTATATGTGTCTGCTCAAGGGTATCTTAGTGAGATCTTCCCTGATCACCATATTCAGGATTGCAATCCCCACCTCCCATTTGGAACCCCTCACCCCCTTCTTTGCTTTATTTCCTTCCCTCGACTTAGTAACATCCACCATTTATTATTTGTATCTTATCTATTGTGTCTCCCCCCACTAGAATGTAAGCTCCCTGAGGACAGGGGTTTTGCTCTGTTTAGTTCATGGAGGTTTCACCCAGATCCCTATCCGAATAGAGCCTGACAGATGGTAAGTTTTCAATGAATGGTTAGATCAAAGGCACCAGGCAGGGAAATGACAACCAGAAAAAGAGAGCCACCAACAGAAACCAAAAAAAAAAGAGAGAGAGAGAGAGAGAGATGGTGACAGCCGCAGCAAACAGCTTTGCTAATGGATGATAAGAGTCCAAGGCGTGATTACCAACGGCTGATGAGCTGCAAGTTCAGCGGTGTTTTCCCAGCACCAAGCCATGTCTTACTCATCTTTTATCCCTCCTTCTTAGTGCGTGATAAGCGCTAACGATTGAATGGCAAGACTCACTCAACTACAGAGGAGAGGACTTTGTGGGGTGTTGTCGTAAATAAAGGCGGAGATTTGGTGGAGAACTGAGGCTGACCCTTGTGAAACAGGTGTTTTCTAAAATATGTTTTATTTCAACACAAGGGGTAGTAAAACACCTTACTCATTTTCGAAGACAATTGAGTTCCATTAAGTATTGACGCTACAGTTACCTTAAAATCGGGACCATTTTGCAGCAGTAAAGAAGGCCTCAAACCACAAATGTCACCACCATGTTTACCATTTGTCACCAACAAGGGGTCACCAATTGGAGGCAGGGAGCAGGGACCGTTGCTTTCTATTAGAGCAGAGCCACTGAGACAGAGAATAGGGAGGGAAGGGCTTAAGAGAAATCATTCCTTATTTTGCCCCCTGAGGTTTTAGTTTGCTTCCTCAGCCGTGCGATACAGTAGAGTCACACTGACGACAAGCCCAGCGCCACTGATGCGCAGGGACTGTGCACGCATCACCACACGCAGGTCAGCCATCATTCTCTTCCGCTTCCTACATTTCAAATCAAAACGGAAGCCTTGACCACTGATAGTCTTTAATGAGATCTTTTCGCTTTGTGGCAGTTATATTGTGCAATGAATTGCTACAGGCCATACAAATCCCTGCTGGTATTGACCAAGCAAACTCCATATACGCTATATGATACTGGATATAAGCACAGTTATCAAATATTTATAAAATAATCATTGCACCAAGAGCAACACATTAGGTGTGCAGGTAGCTAAACACTTTTTTTAGCTAAACCAAAAAAAGTAAGACATGGTCTGTCCCCAAGAGATTTACTATCTAAGGGGAGCCAAGTACAGCAGATAGAAAACACAGCTATCTCGTGTTGGTGCCAGTTGTTATTAAGAAATTGAGTAAACAAAATGGCTTGGACCTCATTCATACAGATTGCTGTTCCGACTGAAGTTAGATGAAGCAATGTTGCCTTATGAAGCGAGGAGACTTGGTTTCAGTACCACTGAATACATTGACAAAGTCATCTGAATTCCTCTGCCCCACTTTCCTAATCTCGGAGTGGGAGTTTTTTGTTTTGTTTTTTACCTCCTGGACTCTGCAAATGCCAATGTGAAAAACCTCCCATTTCCATCCAAAATGTGGCATGATTTAAGTTCTGACCGAGAGAGAGTTTAACCTGCTCACTAATGACTCTCCCCTTATCGCACGCACAAAAAATGTGTTTGTCTTATTCTTTCTACAGTAGTACCTGGCTGGAATCCCAGCGCGCCCAATTCTTCCTGTTTAGGCTCATTAATGTACTGAACAAGCCCTGAAGGTTCAGTATTTGCCCAATTTTGGTCTATGCATATCTCTTGCCTCTCCTTCCTCACGTAACAGCATTTTGTTCACTCACTGTTCATCCATAAGGGAAGGCAAAGAAAAATGAAAGTAAACACAAGTCTTTTTTCCTTTATTTTACTAGTGTTTTTGTAGGAGATGCCTCTTACAATATAACAGATTCAGATACAGCATTGACCAAATAGTCTTCCCTAAAATAACCACAGACAGTAAAACCCTACAGAAGGTTTTTAATCCTCTGACCCCACTCCAGAATAATTATAATTTTTGAAAATCCAAAAATGGTAACAATAGCATAAGAAATGGCCGTATAACTGTGCCTGGGGCATAGTTTTAGGAGTTCCCGGTGGGAGGAAGATTCACTTTTCACTCAGCGCCATTTTTTACTACTTGCAGATTTACCATGTGCTTGTATAAGTTTTATTATAATAAAAATTAAAAAGGAATATTGGCCAACACTCACTGCACATTTACTATGTGCCAGGCCTTTTATATGCATTACCTCATTCAATCCTTCTCACAACTTTAACTCAATTTGAAAAAAAAAAAATTCTCCATTTTCTAGATGAAGAGACAGGGGGTTAAAAACTTATTCGAGAACATGCATTTATTGACCAAACTGACATTTTATGGGAATAACATTATATGATGGAGATAAAACTGTGGCGAGAAGCTCCTTTACCTTACAAAGGTGAGGCCATCGTACCCCATCAATAAAGGAGCGTGTTTATTAGGGAGATGTTTGCCCGGCTTGCAGCAGTAAGTCATGCTGAAATTTACCCTGTGCTCCAGCACTGTAATCATCTGGTTGTTACTTGTTAATTCTATAGCTTCCATTTCTCAACCAGCCTGTTAAGGAATTTAATTGGAATTGGAGGTTTTGAATTTGGAGAAGTGTTGGCCATAGATAACCCATGACCTTCATTTACCAAAACTACCTCCTGTATTCCTATCAAAAAAGCAGTGGTGTTTCTGTATTGGTATTTATGGTCCCTTTCCTTCTTGTACCAACAGAACTGAACATGGGCCTTTAGGGAAAGCAAAGTAAATGGCAGAACATCTTCAAGTTTCCAGGTATATGGACTGGGTCAACTGAGTCAGCCTTCAGGACATAAATCAGAATTTTGAAGGCTAAGAGTTTGAAACAAGCACAGCAAGGGCCTGCTTTTTTGCAAAAAAAAAAAAATCATCTCTTTGCGAATACCTGGCAAATATAAATAAGCCTCAAAAAAGCATTAGCAATTATTTTACCAACAGATATAAGTATAGCAAATGCTTTTTGTGCTTCTCAGATTGTATTTTCATTTTGTTTAATTTTCATATCTAGCTAATGAAAAAATTGAGGGACTGGGCCTGCTTTTTGGTACTCTACCTAGCATACATGATTTCTAGTGGTGAGGTATAACAATTCACATGCTAGCACAAACCTCAGAGGCCCCAAATGCTCACTGTGTGGTGTTCTAATCCTATCGTAAGTTTTAGTCTTAAAAAGACCATATCCCTCCTCGGGCAGATCCCATAGTGATCAGATTGGTTTGGGGGTAACCCAGGATGTATTTTTTCCAAACACTGTTTCTTCCACAAACGTTCGTTGAGGTCTTACTATGTACCAAATACTCTTCTGGGTGCTGGAGTTAGAGCCAAGAATAAACAAAACAGGCAAATAATCCACGTCCATGGAGTTTATAGTCTAGTTAGGCAAGAGAGGCAGTAACACAATAAATACGTAAATTATAAAGTATGTTAGAGGTGATGAGTACTATGAGAAAAGTTAAGCAGGGGATCCTAGAGGTGGAGGCTGCAAATCTAAATAGAGTTGTTAAGGAAGGTCTCACCGAGAAGGTGACGTTTGAGCAAAGTCTTGAAGGGGATGAAGGAATGAGCTACGCGGAGTTCAGGGGGATAAGGTTCAGGGGGATAATTGTTCCAAGCTGAGGAAAGCGAAACCAGAAATGCAAAGCCCCTGAGGCAAGGGTGTGCCAGCCATGAGGGCGAAGGGAAGGAGGTCAGTGTGGCTGGAGCAGAAGGAGCAGGGGTCTGTCTGCAGTAGTAGCCGACGTGCTCAAAACATGGCAGGGGCCAGAAGCCGTAGGGCTTTGCAAGCCATTTAGTGACTTTGTGAGGTAAGGAGACGTTTAAAGGTTTTTAACAGAGAAGCAATAACATCTTACAGTCTCTTATATAAATATTATTAATCATGAAAGAAATTCCCAGAAAAGACCAACCGAATCCCATTTAACCCATATTGCCATTGAACTAAGGTGCTAATCAGACTCTTGGAACCTGAGCTCTGAGCCCCGGATTTAGATCCAGGAGGCAGGGATTTGACTCACACCTCAGTTAGATGATTTGGGGCACATCATTTAACATCTCAGAGCCCCATTTTCCTCGTCAGAGAAATAAGGTAAACCACACCTGCCCTGTGGCTTTATTTTGAGGACCAAGCAAAAACTGAATATAGAAGCGCTTTGTAAATGTAAGACACAATATAAATGTCAGGAGCGGTGGTGATAGCCATAGTGGTATGGCTGTGTCATTACTGGTTTGGGAAAAAGTAAGCCCAGAACCTAAGTCACAATGCTAGGAGCACAAGCCTCTTGTTCCCAGGCTGTCTTAGGAAATCCCCATAGAAATGGGGCCTCCTCTTCCTCCCCAGTACCAGCAGGTCCAGGAGAGAGACAGGGACCCAGCTGATGGCAACAGAAGGGGCCAGTCGGGCTCCCAGCTGGATCAGTCACCACTTGCAGGGTGTCTGGCAGACGGGGCCTCCATGCTTGGGGGTCCTGTTGTCCCAGTGGGAGCATCACGGCCTTCCTTCTCGTTGGCTCCCCAGGCCTCCCCGTCCGGGCCGCAGGGCATTAGGGTGTCCTCGGATGGGCGACTTCCCCAAGTAATCGCAGCCTCCCCTCCTTCCTGACCAGGCACTCCTCCTACGGAAGGCTTTTGGATGACCACGACTACGGGTCCTGGGGAAACTACAACAACCCTCTGTACGACGACTCCTAACACAGGAACACGGCCTGGGATGAGGAGTGACTGTTCTTTATTTATGAGTGCTTATCCAGTAGAATTTATAACACGTACCTGATGCACATGGAACGACAATCTTAAGCCCTGTTTCGTTGGTATGGTTGTTTCTGTTTTCCTTCCTCTCCTCTAGCTGCTACAACTTCCCCTTTCCGGTACAAAAAGAACCATTATTTAAAGGTGAGTAGGGGCTGATTTTCAGCTGAAATGGGCCAGCCTTGCTCCGGCCACACCAGACCACGACGGTGCAGGCTGCCGCCCCCACCGCAGGACCCAGCGCAAGAAGGACCCAGGAAGCGCACTTGGGTTGTTTTGTTGGGGTTGACTTTCAGGGGAACTTTTTGTTTGTGGTATTTCTTAAACTCCTATTCGGGAAATCACATGAAATATCAATGAGGGGAAAGGAAATGAGTCCTCCTCGGAGGGTTTCACCCTGCACGGGAGGGAGCAGGGGTTTCTCGGATTCCTTTTTAATCCCTGTTTATCGGGTTGTAGCTGACAGGATGCCTGCTTGGCTCTACAAGCCTGACAGCAGCTCCTTAGCGGCCTAACTAATGAAAGGTGGAAACAGGAAGTGCCCTCGTGTGGCAGGTCCCCCGGGATCTGAGCATGCGCTCTACCTGCCCTCCCGCCCCGGCCGCCTGCGTCCGCACGGGCTGCCGGCTCCGGGCAAGTGCAGCGGGGACCCCAGCCCACGAGCGATGGCAGAGTTGCATTTCCACAGGAGAAGGCTGTGAGATGCGCTGAGTGATAGAAACGGAGAGGCATGTGGAGCTGTGGAGTGAGCGCGCAGGTGTGTGGGGTTGGGAGAGAGACGGGTGGGGGGAAGAAGGATGCTCACCTGCATTGAGTATCGCGTTAGGGCAAGTGGAAATAGCTGTCGACAACAGCCGGCAACATCCACTGCTTAGAGGAGCCCAGAAAATCCTTGCTTTACACCCATGAAGCGACTGGTCCACTGCCTCACTCTCTGTTGGATAATGGCTGTAAACTGTTAAAAAAAAAAAAAGAGGCACTCACTATTCTCTCTGCAATTGCCAAGCGAGGCATGTTTCCATAGGAAACAGAAACCATGATTAATCTGTTTATTCTTCCTGTACACTCACCTTACTAATTCTTCCCTTTAATAAAGCGCTCCCCTGTGTATATAGTTCTTAAAATCCTGCGCAACAAATTTTCAGAAAGAACTGTTCATCTTCGTAGTCATCCATTTATTGCGGTCATTCTCAGCCAGGAGGTGATTTTTGTCCCCCACCCCTACTTTTGAAAACGTCTGGTGACAATTTTGATTGTCATGACTTGGGGGCGCTACTAGTGGACGGTGGCAGGAATGCTGCCGAACATTCTGCCATACACGCGACAACCCACGACAACAAAGAATTCTCTGGCACAAAATGTCTGTAGTGCTGAGATTAAGATTATTAATACTCACATATGTCATGCTTTTTTATTTTTAAGAAAATGATACGTTAAATTTTTATCTTCAGAGTGTATAGTTTGTTGGCTGATGGGTTGTGTTTTGGTATGCATGGTCATCTTTTTATTTCTATGTGTTTACTACAGAGCTTTAGTTCATGGGCTGCAACTCTGTCCTCCTGTGACATGCTATTAGCAATCAACATTTTGTGTCCTGATTTCATGTAGTAGAAAACAAACACTGGGTCCCCTTTCAAAATGTGTTATATTGTCCTACATTGTCATAAAGAACTTGAAAATGGATCAGTTTTTATTTCTAAACTTGGACCTTGCTGCCATGACTCCGTTTAGTTTACGGAAACTTGACCGCCGGCTCATCCCGTCACTAGCTGTGGCCGGGCAAAGCACTGACGTGAAACCACCCTTGCTTTGCTAAACAGCTCTGTCATCAGAGACACTGGGAGTAGTGCCACTTTCTGCAACCTGCCATCCCACACGCTGAAAAAATAATTATTTCTAAGCTCCTTAGGTGCCAGAGGAGAATGAGCAACTCCCAGAGTATTTTACAACCAGAGTGGACAATGCGGAGTAGGCCTGGAGGAATTAGGATGTCTCTGAGTATGAAAAACGAAAGATAATAAAAGTGGACCTTCCCAGAAACATGGACAAGAGTGACCAAGGGTGCCCAGTCTGGCCGTGTGTGGCTTGAGTCAATGTCCTTCTTCCCCATCCCACCCCCTCCATAGAGCTTTCAGTTTGGCAAAGGACAAGCCAATAAAAATAGGACATTCCATATGTGGTTTTTTTTTCCTCCCACGGCCAAAAACGTTTTGACACAATGTCCATGAAACACCTTTGCAGAGTAGTACTCTGGGTGTTGCTTCTGTCATAGATACTGGGTCAGAGGGACCAGCCTCTTCCCAGGAACCCTGACCTAATACAAACCATGGACTCTGCAAACAATTTTCCTTACCGAAGGCTGCTATTGTGCAAGGGCATGTGATGGGTTTGTTGCTCTTATTAACTTCCAAATGCTTATGGCAAATATAGGGATCTGGGCCTAAAGCAGATGTATTCAGCAAGGTGACAGCTTCCCGCAAAAACTACAACGCTCTTTGTGCTGTTCTGTCAATATAAAATACCTAAAGGTTGAGCCTTATTTTGCCAAATGTATTTTTTCTGATTTTGAATTGGCCAAAGGATTTTAGCAACTGTATTCTACAAGTGTTACTTACACACACACACACACACACACACACACGCACAGACAGCCCTGAAATATGTGCTGGTAGTTGGCGGGACCTCAGGGAGTCTGTTCAGGTGTACCCGGGGGAAATGGCTCCAGTGGATTCCAACCCACATCCTGGCTGTGATAGGGCCAGTCATAAAGCTTTAGAGAGAATGCCAGAGCAGGGGGGCAGGGGGGGCGTAGATGACAAGTGATGAAAGAGTGGGGTTCTTCTGTTTCCTCTCTGTGGCCCCGATGATGAAATCTCCTGCCCTCCTGGCACAGCTGTGTCTTCATTTCTAAACCGGGTGAAGCTTTCGCATTGCCCTCACCCCGTACTACCTCACAGATGTGTTGTGAGGATTAATGAAATTACATCTACAGTGTTTTCAGTTTCTGGAGAAAAAAATATTTATAGACATTTTAAGTATTACATAGATATCTAAGTGATCTGAGTTTCTTGTTTGCGGTTACCCTGGTGTGTTGTTTTTACATATTGCATAAGACGGCAGTTGCATCCTAGCCCCATCGCACAGCTGTTCCAGGTCCAGACTACACCCCCACGGCCCAGTGCCGCTGATCGACTGCAGGGTCGACTGTGCCTGGGGTCGCAGATGATGGTTTTCGTTTCCAAAGGAAGGTCTGGCCCGGGACGTGGATCTCACAGACTCGAGAGTCAGGATCCAGACGGTTAGGGTACCACAGAGTGTATACTTGAGCACCAACAGCAGTAGACTTCTGGCCTGTACCATCCTGAAGTCTTCTGGATTCTGCGTGGAGTTGATTTTGGTTCAATGTCATCTGTTTGCTCTTCTTCTGACTTGCGAGCGTGCGTGGTTCAATCCCTCGCATCTGGGACATGAATTTTGCACCTGGGCCAGATGCTAATTTGCACGTTGATTCACCTTCTTTGCCTTTAATCTTTTTTTTTTTTTTTTTTTTTGGCAAATGAATGTATCATTCAGCTTTGATTTTAAAAGTACTAGTTGATATTGGTTATAATGCTAACCAAGAGATCAATACCAGATTTCTCTTTTGGGGTGAGTCAACCAATGTCGTTTAAAGATGGAAAGATGTGAAACTTCTTTGATATTTGATGTTATTGCATCCACATTTGTTGTAAGACATATTGCATACCAATTATAATTATATCAATTAAAGTTGTTAAAAGCTTGTGTCTGGTCGTGGTGATTTACATTTTAATATGTTTTACTCTTCAAGCCATTCAATGGATATGCTCAATCAATACTGGTCATACTACTCAGCTCTGACTTGTTCATAAAGAAAAATATATCCCACATAAATAAATAATATTTTCTGCATGGCAGGAAGGTCTCTCTGATCTTGAAACAGAATTGAAGAATGTCAGAATTGAAGACACTTTCCAAGCAGTCATTTTACTCTTAAACTGTGTGCCTTATCAAACAGATGTGAAAGCAAACGCTTTGATTCAATGAGTTGATGGCAATTCATAATCGAGTCATATTAAGGCATTAGTGGTACATTTGATACTTGTCTCACTCCCCTTCAAAAATTAAATTCAGCATGCCCATCCTTATCTGACAGTTAGACAGACAGTTTCAGTCATCCAGAGTATAATTTCAACCCCCAGGAGCTAACCAAAGATTATTCTCATTCCAAAGAAAAGAGCAACAACGAAATCCATTGCATTTTGCTCCACAGGAGAGAACTGGACCACCTGCAAACTAGAGCGTGTTGATTAGATGACGGAGATAACCTTAAGGTTGGGTTTAATAAATTTAATTTCCCGGCTTCCAGTGGCACAGTCTGGAGGTCGGACTGGGAAGAGTCAATATAGGGAATGAGGACTGTTCCAAAGCACACGACAGGCCCTTTCCATTGATTGTTTGGTCATTTCTTAAGGACCCGCCATGGGCACAAAAGCAACTAACGACCCCATTATTCCAAGCTTGCCTGAAACAGGATTGGTCAAAAAGCACTTGAAGTGTGCATGGAAAGAAAGGGCTTACTGATAGTAAGCAGTGTAGCAGATTATGAATTCTTAGGTCCAAATCAGTGTATTTTCTATATTACAGCTTTTCCATGTCAGACCATAATCTGTTTGTATTATTTAGTAACTTATCCGCAATCTTTGCTCTCCTAAAATTCAATAGCACTCACCAATAGCTAGCTATATTTTGACTTTTGTCAGAAAGCATTGAATTATAAATGACTCTTGAAAAGCATGTCGGGAAAAACCTGTAAGAGGTATGATTGTGCCTTTTGAAGGATCTGGTCTTTGGCAGATGCAGGCTACATTTACTGCACAGAACTGCGTTCATCAGTTTGAGTCAACAAACGTATTGAGTTTTTATTTTAAGCAAGATTCTGAATATTTACTATAAAAAAAAAGGAATCGAATATTCTTTAGGGAACTTGGGTGACTGTGAGCATGGATGTAATGTTTGCGTCAGCTTTAGAGGTCATTATACCGTCTCCATTTTACAGATGGGAAAACTGATACTAAATTCATTTGTCCACGTACTGAATCCTTTTATGCACTCATGACGAATAAGAAGTTCCCTGCTCTCCGAGTATTTACAGTTTAGCAAGGGGCAAAGGGAGGATTCAAATCAGGCCCATCAGACACCAGAGCCCTTGGTCTTTTTCCACCCAAGGGACTGGCATCTGATGTAAGTATAATCCCGGTCTTGTGAGGGACCCTCGCACCTCCTGCTAACATGGGACCTTCTCCCCCTGACAAAGTCTACTTCAGCTATTTCAGGCAGTCCCCAGGGTGTCTGGCATGCAGTTGAAAACAAGCCCAGTCAGCTCCCATGCTCGTGTCTCCTGCTGGGCACTGTCACCTTTCTGCTGACTCCTGCTTCTATGGCTGTGTTCCCTGCCAAGGGGGAATTGCCCTCCCTCCTGCCCTGTTAGGACAGCAGCACAGAGCCCCGTGGTCTCATAGAATTTTCGTGAAAACCTCTCCTAGTTTCCACTTGCAGCCTCTGTGCTCGGGAGTCAGGTGTGAGCCCACAGCGGCCTGGCCTGGGGGTGCCACCCTTGGAATCACGCCCTGCTCTCACCGTGGGGCTCCACCGTGGGGGCAGCTGGCCTTTCCTTGGGGTGCCGATAGTAATGACAGTTTATCCCCGCACAGTGCTTCCTGTGAGCTAGATAGATGCTGCTCTAAGAACTTCACGTGGGTTAACCTCCCTACGAGGCAGGCGTAATTAATATCCTCATTGCACAGATGAGGCAACTAAGGGCCAAAGAAGTGAAGAAGCTGGCCCAGGGTCGCACAGTGGTGGGCAGAACTGAAATGCCAGCAACTGTTCTCCAGAGTCCGTGCCTGGGACCCCTCCCAGGCACAGCCTCGCTCCCTGTCAGGATTC